GTGTAGGGCTCCTAGAGCATTATATCAAGTGAATCCTTTGACATTTTCCAAGTGGAGAGCACTTCTGAGGGCATGTCACAATTAATTAGATGGGATGGCATTCTGTGGGATGGCAAAGGTTTTGTGCATTTCACTGCACAAAGAACTAACCGGCTGATAATGAAAATGCCCTTCAAAGAAAACTAGCTGAATAGAGGAGAATCTTTCTTATACTTACACTTTTTTACAGCTGAAAGTGATTAATAGTATCATTCTTTTAGATGAAAAGACAGTAAGCAATTTTCAGGTACACAGGTCAGAAGGAAGACCACAAAGGAGGTCTAATCTCATGTACAATAAACTCATTGAAAACAAACTATAAATGTTTGCCCCTAGAGAAAAAGCAAAAGTCAAACTCACCTGATCTACTATCCAGAGGTCCAAAATCCAAAGAATATTTCACGACGTGGTAGTTATTCCATACGTAAAGAAGGTTGTCCCTGGGGTTGTAATCCACAGCCGCTATGTACTGGTATGAATTGGGAAAGGGCACATCCACCAAGCTATCCTTACTTTGGTCGGTGTTGTAAATGTAGTCAATCTTATTTCCTGTAGCCTCATTGTCATCATCCTCATATACAGATTTGACCACATACAGAATCCCACAAATCATAAATGCGTTGGAAGCTGACCTCTTATCATAAGCAGTATCCCATGTGCCTTCAATCCGTAGGGTGTAAGGGTTCAACTGGCTAATGACAATTTTACCATTGTTTTGTTCTGTTGCATAGATTACCCATAGCCCATTCTCATCCACTGCCAGGTCTATGTCAGATTTGCCTCCCCATCGGTAAGGGGAGGTATCATGGTAGTTGGCATTTGCTATGATAGCCTCTCCACTCTTTATCCTAGTCCGCAAATCAAACTTTACTATGTTCCTGGTGCGCTCCTTATTGAAGAACAAAGCCCCATCGTACACCACAAAGCCTGTGCCATCCACTCTGTGAGGGAGCTTATAGGTCGTGGTGGGCCTTCCGGCAATGAAGTCATCCTTGGATGAGTACTCAGTGAGGGTATCAGTTCTGTAGGGGGTCCAGGGCATATAATAAATCTTGTCAGAAGCCTGCAGAGGGTCCTTGCACCATGCCCCAGACTGGTGGTCAGACTCAAATAAATGTTCACTCTGGTATACTCCTTTTAGTAGTCCAGGACAAAGAAAAACTGTTGGAAAGCAAAGAGTTAAAAATGATAAATATATTAGTTTTCATATTTTGCCATATATTCTTATTTTGCTCCAAATGGATTGCAACTCTAACATGACATACCCACCACCACTTATTCGTTTTGTTGCATTCTTCTGAGAAAACAAAGTAGTTTTTCACATTAATTTTGACTTATTTTCAAAATCATTTTTATTTCATTTGCTGAAAAAAGTTGGCTTTTTTATGAACAATTGTGCTCTCCTTTCATTTTTACCTTTGTAAATGTGTTATAATTTCTTTGATTACATTTATATAGATGTGACATACATACATATTCTATAGACATATAACAAATACAAATGTTTACACATGAAGTGTTAAAGTATCTTACTGGCAATTTAAAATATACATATATTGCTTTCACTCAGATAATATTAGCTATTCAATACTTATCATTAAGAAACAAATGGAAATCCAATAGTAACTGAAATATATTAACAGAGGAAAAGAAAAGCCCTGTAATGCAGGCCACTGAATCTTCTAGCAAAAAAGCTCTTAGCACACACAGAGCATGCAAACCCCCACAAGTGAAAATGAGTGATGGATGGATACTGAAAGGGAAAAGAGAAAGGAAGAAAAAGAAAGGAAAGAAGAAAAGGTGAAAGGTTACAGAGAAGAACCCAAGATCTAGATTTTAATCAGTTAAAAATGTCCTGTTAAATACAGTAGTATTGAAACTTAAAAACATGTGTCTTTTACTGTTACATGAGAAGAACATTAAAAAACAAGATTACTTGCTACAGTATTTGCTGCTCATACTTCAGACTGAAAATGGACAGGAATTCTCTGATTGACTTGATTTTTAGTATGATTCAGTAGTATGCTGTGTGCGTGGTGGTCAGGAAGCTTGACTTATTCACCTACAGTGAAGGAGCTATAAAGCAATGTTTCCCAGAGGATGGTCCATGAGCACCCATTTCAAGTGGTATAGCTGGGTGTTACACAAAAAGAAAACAGGGATCTTTAGCCACGTGTACTAAAGAAATATCATATAAAATGGAATTGTAGCAGAGACTCTAACAGCTAAAGTACATTAATGAATCTCTGCTGCAGAAGTGGGGAAGGGGAGGCAATTTCACCAATTAATGTGATCACAGAAGCTCTTGGGAGTGTAGTGTTCTGCTGAACCTACTATGGGAAACACTGCTCTAATATTTTTGCAAAACAGACACACTGGAAAATAACCATGCAGTCCAGTGTTATGTTTAAAATGATTAGAAGTGTTTTGGGTGGAGAAATTAGGAAATCACAAGGAATTTGGATGTTCACCCATATTAATGATTAAAGTATGATTCTCTTCATATTAGTGATTAGCTCCATAACAGCCACCGTAAGCCTAAATTCAATGAAAAAAATCAAAGATGAAAAAAATCATCTACAATTTGCTGGTTATTAAGGAAAGTTATTAAAATCCCCAAAGTTTTGTCTTTGGAGAAATGGAAAGTTTGATGGATTAGCTGACTATCAAAATCTTCCATAGCAACAACAGAGGGCCATCATCAAATTATATTCAATCATAAAAGGTGAATGTATTGGTGTAGGGCTCCTAGAGCATTATATCAAGTGAATCCTTTGACATTTTCCAAGTGGAGAGCACTTCTGAGGGCATGTCACAATTAATTAGATGGGATGGCATTCTGTGGGATGGCAAAGGTTTTGTGCATTTCACTGCACAAAGAACTAACCGGCTGATAATGAAAATGCCCTTCAAAGAAAACTAGCTGAATAGAGGAGAATCTTTCTTATACTTACACTTTTTTACAGCTGAAAGTGATTAATAGTATCATTCTTTTAGATGAAAAGACAGTAAGCAATTTTCAGGTACACAGGTCAGAAGGAAGACCACAAAGGAGGTCTAATCTCATGTACAATAAACTCATTGAAAACAAACTATAAATGTTTGCCCCTAGAGAAAAAGCAAAAGTCAAACTCACCTGATCTACTATCCAGAGGTCCAAAATCCAAAGAATATTTCACGACGTGGTAATTATTCCATACGTAAAGAAGGTTGTCCCTGGGGTTGTAATCCACAGCCGCTATGTACTGGTATGAATTGGGAAAGGGCACATCCACCAAGCTATCCTTACTTTGGTCGGTGTTGTAAATGTAGTCAATCTTATTTCCTGTAGCCTCATTGTCATCATCCTCATATACAGATTTGACCACATACAGAATCCCACAAATCATAAATGCGTTGGAAGCTGACCTCTTATCATAAGCAGTATCCCATGTGCCTTCAATCCGTAGGGTGTAAGGGTTCAACTGGCTAATGACAATTTTACCATTGTTTTGTTCTGTTGCATAGATTACCCATAGCCCATTCTCATCCACTGCCAGGTCTATGTCAGATTTGCCTCCCCATCGGTAAGGGGAGGTATCATGGTAGTTGGCATTTGCTATGATAGCCTCTCCACTCTTTATCCTAGTCCGCAAATCAAACTTTACTATGTTCCTGGTGCGCTCCTTATTGAAGAACAAAGCCCCATCGTACACCACAAAGCCTGTGCCATCCACTCTGTGAGGGAGCTTATAGGTCGTGGTGGGCCTTCCGGCAATGAAGTCATCCTTGGATGAGTACTCAGTGAGGGTATCAGTTCTGTAGGGGGTCCAGGGCATATAATAAATCTTGTCAGAAGCCTGCAGAGGGTCCTTGCACCATGCCCCAGACTGGTGGTCAGACTCAAATAAATGTTCACTCTGGTATACTCCTTTTAGTAGTCCAGGACAAAGAAAAACTGTTGGAAAGCAAAGAGTTAAAAATGATAAATATATTAGTTTTCATATTTTGCCATATATTCTTATTTTGCTCCAAATGGATTGCAACTCTAACATGACATACCCACCACCACTTATTCGTTTTGTTGCATTCTTCTGAGAAAACAAAGTAGTTTTTCACATTAATTTTGACTTATTTTCAAAATCATTTTTATTTCATTTGCTGAAAAAAGTTGGCTTTTTTATGAACAATTGTGCTCTCCTTTCATTTTTACCTTTGTAAATGTGTTATAATTTCTTTGATTACATTTATATAGATGTGACATACATACATATTCTATAGACATATAACAAATACAAATGTTTACACATGAAGTGTTAAAGTATCTTACTGGCAATTTAAAATATACATATATTGCTTTCACTCAGATAATATTAGCTATTCAATACTTATCATTAAGAAACAAATGGAAATCCAATAGTAACTGAAATATATTAACAGAGGAAAAGAAAAGCCCTGTAATGCAGGCCACTGAATCTTCTAGCAAAAAAGCTCTTAGCACACACAGAGCATGCAAACCCCCACAAGTGAAAATGAGTGATGGATGGATACTGAAAGGGAAAAGAGAAAGGAAGAAAAAGAAAGGAAAGAAGAAAAGGTGAAAGGTTACAGAGAAGAACCCAAGATCTAGATTTTAATCAGTTAAAAATGTCCTGTTAAATACAGTAGTATTGAAACTTAAAAACATGTGTCTTTTACTGTTACATGAGAAGAACATTAAAAAACAAGATTACTTGCTACAGTATTTGCTGCTCATACTTCAGACTGAAAATGGACAGGAATTCTCTGATTGACTTGATTTTTAGTATGATTCAGTAGTATGCTGTGTGCGTGGTGGTCAGGAAGCTTGACTTATTCACCTACAGTGAAGGAGCTATAAAGCAATGTTTCCCAGAGGATGGTCCATGAGCACCCATTTCAAGTGGTATAGCTGGGTGTTACACAAAAAGAAAACAGGGATCTTTAGCCACGTGTACTAAAGAAATATCATATAAAATGGAATTGTAGCAGAGACTCTAACAGCTAAAGTACATTAATGAATCTCTGCTGCAGAAGTGGGGAAGGGGAGGCAATTTCACCAATTAATGTGATCACAGAAGCTCTTGGGAGTGTAGTGTTCTGCTGAACCTACTATGGGAAACACTGCTCTAATATTTTTGCAAAACAGACACACTGGAAAATAACCATGCAGTCCAGTGTTATGTTTAAAATGATTAGAAGTGTTTTGGGTGGAGAAATTAGGAAATCACAAGGAATTTGGATGTTCACCCATATTAATGATTAAAGTATGATTCTCTTCATATTAGTGATTAGCTCCATAACAGCCACCGTAAGCCTAAATTCAATGAAAAAAATCAAAGATGAAAAAAATCATCTACAATTTTCTGGTTATTAAGGAAAGTTATTAAAATCCCCAAAGTTTTGTCTTTGGAGAAATGGAAAGTTTGATGGATTAGCTGACTATCAAAATCTTCCATAGCAACAACAGAGGGCCATCATCAAATTATATTCAATCATAAAACTGATGTTTAGAAGAATTTCTTAGGCTTCCAATATGATGGCTATAATTATAAAGGATGGGTAGGCATTGCTGTTAAAAGTGTATAAAAACTTAATGTTAGACAATAATCAACCCTTGTTTACTGAAGTAATTTACTGTAAGGTATTTCAGGAAACCATCTTCTCTTTCCCCAGTAGTTAAAAATTAAAGGAACAGGGTAAACTACACCAGAACTATGGAAAATTATCTAATATAGAAAGAAAACCAAACCTAAAGCAATCACTATCCATCACCATCTACTAGATTTTTAACTACTTATTTAAAAATAAAGAGGAATACAAAACACAGTTGAAAATTCTACACTATTGAACTGTTTAATAAAAGGATCAAACCAGCACTAGTCAGTATAGCAGATCATGATGAAGTTGAGCAGCAGTAGTAAATAAATTTTCATAAAATAGATAAGAATTAATAACAAAATTATTTTAACTAAATGTTAAACTGTTAAATAACTTAGCCTATAAAAAATACATAATTCATGAAAGGTATTTAATTACCTTTTTGTTCCACTTCTATTGGAGAGAGAGAAGTAAAGAGAGAAAGGAGAAAAGAGAATAGATTAATGGTACGGTATTGGCCAACCACTTTTTATTCACCTCTTCCAAACTGAAAGTAAATAATTTATTTCACTCATACTTGCTTCTTGAACATTATGTATTTTTTTTTTACAAACCCAATCCTCCAATAAAATTACTTTATAAAAAACAATCATATTATATAAACTTAAAAATACAGTGCAAACTTGGAAAACTAAGGCAGAAGTTAATCAAGCTAAGATTGAATATACATACAGTTCCAAACTACAGACAAAGAAAATGCAATATTCTTAATAAGAACACCAATATCTCTGTTTGAAAGGTAGGTATGTAACTATACACAGAAAGCTTTCAAATAGTTTGCCTAGCCTCACTTATAAAATATTATAGTTTGTACCACTATTTAACATAGTATTTGCTTTTTGCCCATCGTAAGAATTGATCTCTTCAAAAGAAACTACTCGACAACTCACTTCTTAAGGCCTAGTTATTCCATGTCTTGTCAGTCTTATGAGAAATGCACCTCATGAGGCTACACATTAACAGGGAATGAGCTCACACTGAATAAACAGATTCATAATCCTTACTGAAACTTCTCTCCCTCCTACTCATCAATATTTCATATCATTGTGACAAAATAGTGTCTTCCAGAAAAATTTGTTATCGGAAGGTTGATATAAACAATACCCGCTCTGGCATTTTCTGAAATTCTTAACTGAGTCTTTCAATACACTCTTTTAAGAATAAATTAATAAAATGGCATGGCTATGCATCTCTCAAATTAGATTCCATTATTATTTTTAAGGTATTGATCAATACAAGTAAGGGGAAATTCTGGGAAACTGTAACGTATTTATGAAACTCATCAAGCAGCACCTTCTTTATATCATAAACATTTGTTTATCAGAAACAATTTGCCTCGATAGCAACAAAAGAAAAGGGGCCAATGAACAAAAAGAAACAAAAAAATCAGGGGAGAATGGGTTCATAACACAAACTTGAAGGTCACAGATTGCAAGTGTTATAAATCTAAGATAATGTATGTGGGAAGGGATGAGCAGAGTTATGCACAATAAATAAAGCCCTAGGAAAGTTTCAAAACAAGGGAGAAATACGGCTTCAGGTAATCACATTTGGGTAAGAATTTTGTGTTTTGACTTAAGCTCATGTCTCCAATTAGTGTTAAAATCACACTCATTTCTTTCCATTGACTTTTTTGAAAGCTCAATATCACATGTGCTGGAAGACAAACTGTATATACAAAAGTTATGCTTAGGAAATTGCATATGGGGCTCTCATTTTTAGATTCCTTATCATTAATTTTCACTAATTTCATTTTTAACAGCATTTCTATGACCTGTTTTAAGTCTTATTTTTAACAGTATTTCTATAGCAAACTCTACTTATACTGTTATAATTTGTCATCATACTCAAAATTGAGTAACTTCAATGTTCACTGGACTGTACGCCTCATTATAGGTCAGTCAAAAGCTTTACCTGAGAGATACACTTCCTGCTATGACTAGAATGTTAACAAGCCTCCATTCAGACTGACAACTAGAGGAAGCTTAATGAAGCACCTTAAAATTTTATTTAATCAATAGTATATTTGCACTTGAAACTCACTGCAGGTGATGTGGAGATGGTGAATGGGAAAATCATACCAACTGTGATACTTTTCAGTGACTAGCCTACAAAGAAATTTCTAGACCTAATTTCTTCCCTGAAATAGCTCTAAATATGTATCTTTTTGAGAATTATATATGGAGGTACTTATATTCTAAAACATAAAACATACATTCACACACCTTTACTCTTACATCACATAAAACTCTTATTCTAAGTGCAAATATCCTAACTTCTTAATGACTGGTATTTCAACAACAAATATTTCGTGAGTAAAGTGGGATATGAAAAGTATTGATAAGGTAAGTATTAGTAAGGTATTACATCCTGTAAATGCTATCTTAAAATTTAGTGGACATTTTTATTTTTTAAGATCTTTTACCTCTCTTTTCTCAACTGTCATTAGGTAAAATTCTACTAGTAATTCTCTAGTCCTGGTCTAATCTGAGAGAAATTGGCATAAACTGTAACATAAATAAAGCTTGCCTTTGCTACTTGCTGGTTATTCAAAATTAAGATGTATTAGGCAGTTCCACTTTGGAGAGAATAATTATGATCTTGCCTATGTCATGACTGACTATAGCTCATTTATCATTTATTTGCTATTTTCGAGACTGAAGTAAAACAATCCCATAATTTAAGTTGAAACAAGCACACACAAAACATATTCCCATAACAAAAACTGGCAAGGCAAACACAATTTGTCATTAAAAAGCTTACTAACATTTGGGATTAGCCAGTCCTTGTCCAGCATCTAATTCTGATTCCAGAAGCTTCCCCCCATCCTGAAAACACACACACACACACACACACACACACACACACACAAATTGCATGGATATAAGAAACATGCTTATCTCTGTATCCTCCACAATCTCACAGTGCCTGGCACATCATAAATACTCAGAGAAGAGCTACTGAGTTAATACATAATCCAAATAAAGGAGATTAATTCTGCTTCTTGCTATTGTAAGTATATAGCAAAAAGAAAAAAATGGTGAAGGAGAATTTAGATTTGCTATAATCATATGTGTGATGCTTATCTCCATAATGTCCTTGTATATTATGATGGATGTGGAGGAAACTACAATTTACAAGTAACTTGTATCTCCATCTCTTTAAAGACAAAACTGGAAGAAAAAAGAAAAGACAAAAAAGTATATAGATGGTCTTGAGGACTATACTGGCAAGAAAAAGTTAGTTACTATAAAACAGCCTGTGAAGATCTAAAAACACAAGCCAAAAATTACTCCCTCCTCTCCTCTCAGTGGTGAGATAGTAAATAAGTAAACTGTGTGATGCCACTGAGCTAGGCCTCCTCCAGGACCTCTTGTCCTTTATTCTGGCCCAGTAGCCTGAATGCTGACATTCAGCTGTCACTGTTCATTTCCAAGTCTCTGTGGAGCTACTCTCCTTTTCTCTCTTCACTCTTAATCCCCACCTATTTTTATTGTCCATTCAGCCTCTACAAATACGTTTATGTATTTCCTTAAAATGATCCACTGTTGTCCTTTGTCAAACGCTGTGTCATAACTATATCCTGGGCTTAAAGTAAATGACAAATTCAAAGGAAGGGTAATTTTATTCTGTATAAAAGGAAGAAACAGGAAAAAAGGACTAGTAAATTTTCCCTTAATTTCCCAACAGTGCATAAAATAGATATAATAGATGGTTATGTTATTGCTTAGAAAAGTAAGATGTTATTAGTTTTATCCATATCTGTACCATATGGAATTCTTTGGAATTGCATCTTTTAATTAGAAAAAGTATGGATGAGAGAGCATATGCATGCATTGCCAAGCTTTTTCAAACTGTATTGCAAATTACAGGAATAAAACTGTTGCAAGCCCAAAATTGTCAGAACTCCACTGCCGTAGCTAAGAACTATGAAATTGTTCTCTAATTCTAATGTAGCTTAAATTTTCTTTTCTTTTAAATTATCATACATTTTCTATCTAGAATTTAAATGCAGAAGGTTGTAATGAGTAGAATGTTGTAATCCTATGATGCCTCTATATTTCTGTAATATATAAATAAAAAGACACATAGGACATAAAGTTATATTAAATAATTTATAAACAAATATTTTTATCATTGAAATGTAGTAGTATTTTAAATAGAATTACTTTCTTGGTTACATTTGGCTTAGACTATTAAAATACATTTGGGTAACCACAGCACAGGCCAGTGGGCAGTTAGGAAGATGAAAAAGGCAAACTAAGTAATTTAAAAAAAATCAGTCTTGAATGAAAATTTGCTGGTGCATAATATACAAACAAAATAATCTATAATTGGATAGCGAAAAGTTCACATACTACTATATATTTGTATAGCGTTTTATAACTTAACAAAATGTTTTCACATGAATTGTTTGACTTAATTCTTCTAACAACACTAAGAAGTGGTATTTTTTATTCCCATATTCAAGATGAATCTGCCAGAACTCAAAATGTTAAAGGAATTGACTGGATCAGTATTGGTAGGTGACAGAGTCCAGTCATTGGTCTAATATTATATACTGACTCTGACAATGTGTAAACTCAGTGAAACACTGTTCGTTTTTTGGGTTCTTGTGTTCCATTTTCCTTCTGTCACCAAATCCATGTAAGAGTGCACTTTAGAGCAGATAAATATAATGTAAATGGAATCTCCCTGAGGGCATGCACTATGTCTGTTCCCAGAAATAACATAACATTAAGCACATGTCACGTGTCACATTATGCACTGAAGTTTTGCATACGAATTTAAACAGCTCATGGAAATCATATGAGGCAGATATTCTCATTGTCTTAACTTTTCAAATGAGGAGTAGGCACAAAGATGCATGCCTATTTGGTTAATTAGTGGTTGAGCTGGAATTCAAATCCAAGTTTTGATCTTATTCAAGATTGTATCTCCAGTGCCCAGCACAAAGAAGAGCTCAATTAATATTTCCTATGCTTCCGTGACATGATGAATTGCACTGTGGTATTTTCAAAGAAAGGACTGGATGTCATACTTCTCAGAGCTATCACCCCTGAGACTAGTGATGCATTGCTCCAGGGAAGATAAAATAATAGGAAAAAAAAATGGGTTCCTCGTTTTTTGGACAAGGAAACAAGATTTTCTTTATCACTAGAAGCAAACCTGTGCCGAATACCTCATGTCCTGTTACTTTTTATTATTCTGAAACAGAAAAAATTCTCTTTTCTTCTAGTTCACATCCACCAAGGAAATACAGAAACACTTCAGTAAATAGAAATAAAAATTCTGTGAAGTTCATTAATTTTTCTGGTATATTGCACATCAAAAATTCTGACAGACACCTGTCTCTTTCAGTAAATGGAGTGCTAATCCTTTATTTAATGAAA